GATGTTACAACCAATGGATCAGGGCGAGATTTGGTCTTTCAAATGTTCGTTTCGGAAACATTTACTGGAATATGTTTTGTCTTTGACAGAAGATGAGCAGCGTATCATGAAACCCGAGGTGGACATTCTCATGGCCATGCATCTGATCAAGAAAGCTTGGGTGTCTGTGCACCCACACGTACTGTTCAACGCTTTCATGAAAGCTAGGTTCAAATCCACATTGATGCAGCCGGTGATGCAGCCACCAGAGGATAAATGCGATTTCATCGAGAACTTTACTGACTATGTGTCCATTGATGACCGTCTTTTTGGAGAAGAAATCGCCTGTTTGGAATTTGATGATGAAGAAGTGGGTTATTTAAAATTTTTGTATCAAGTCTCTTTTCAGTCATTAGATGAATTCGTTTCGCATCAAGCTAAGCATCGCAAAGATGAGTGTGAGGCAGTGAATGTCCCGGAAGTTATCTCAATCAGAGAGACGCAGAAGTTATTTCATCAATTGAAGCTCTTTGCCTTGGCCAACGCTCGTAGTTCGGGTCGATTATTGGAGTGTACAATTGATTTAAACAGCGCATTTGTTGATTCCCAACGGAGAACCAAGCTGAGATAAACGACGATTTATGATTTTGCTAAAAATACATCTTACTAATCTGGGAAGTTTTTCTGCTATTCTGTGAGGCACTGAACTGAAATGTGAGGCACTCGAAAGTGGTCACCAACGCCACGTGATTTGGTCTGTCGATGGGCTCTGTAGCACTAACATGCAAACGGGTGAACGCTATTCTCAATTGACTGGTAAGCGGGTGAGTGGAGTGAGATGTCAGATCCGAACGATCGATAAACATCGTCACACGGACGCGCCTGTGTGAATGATTGAACGATACTCTCATTTGTCCTAGAGCATCGATGAAATTAGACAGGTCATCATAACCCGGGTCTTAGGACAGTTTGTGAGATGCACTTTTAGTTTATGAATCGTTAACTGCTTGAGAGATGCTGTAATTCCTGTAGGCTGGCGTCTATGGCCTTCGGTTGGCTGAGGAGTGAATTTCTTCTAAGTAAACTCCTGTTTCACGCCTGCCGAAAAATTTGCGCGAGAACCTGCTTAAAAAATAATGCGTGTATCTCAGACGAGTCAAACGTTGGCCCAGTGTCATCATCGCTTGAACTTTTTCATTCCGAATCCCCCACATGGCGCATCGTTCCACAACCGATTCTCCGGTGGTTATTCTCTGCCAACTTAAGCAGCATCCGATTCAGAACATATACTTCTCTTATTCCGACCCGAAAATCACGCGACCGTTCATGTTCGTTTATCGATCGGTCGAATAGGTCACCGCAACAAGAGACCTGGTGCTTGCCCACCTAACACGAGCGAGAAACCACACCTTGTCTACAGCCACGAGTCTTTAGCAGACCCAGTGAATTTCGGCTGTACAGTAGGTGTGCCTTCACCACACGGATGGACTACATATGACAACAAGATCATCACAAGAAGTGCAAGACAATGTGAAACGATGGAGTAATCAGACTATCGTACTATCCACATAGCAACATGACATCTTATATTGATACTCGGACATCGTAAATTGAAAAAGGTATGCTATATGAATCACGTCAAGGCATCACTGGTTGAACTTATTCCGATCAACAACAGTCATAACGAATGCATCAATCGGTTTGAACATACACTGGTAACCACAGAAGCGAACTAACGAATAGATGTCTACGGACGTTAATGATACACATTTTTCAATAGAAAATCATGAATAGATTGCACAACGAACAATCAGTTTGAATGTGGGAGGGAAGTCAACATGCTGAATATACCCCGTAACAGATATTTCACTCATTTTAGTTGTTATTTCCTTCTCATTGTATTCGATTTGGTTCACCTTTATTTTCCCTGAATGGGTTAAAAATGATGTGATTATTGTAGCTAAAAAAAAGTTGTATATTATGGTGGAAGTCTTATAAGCAATTCTGTGGTTAGCTTAGCGTTGCAACGGAATGGAATTAATAAGGGATAACTGGGTCAGAAAAAGTTCCCTTGAAGAAAGGTAGGTAGATGCTAGACACAGAACTGAAAAGGACTGAATACCGGATGCAATGTGCCGCTAATAGGCTGAGGGCGTCATAAAGTATTCAAATTTCTGCGATACATATAGGATACGCAAGACGGTAGATCTAAATTCCGTTATAAATAAACAGCTTATAATCATAACTATTGGTAACAACTAACGGGATTCACCTTTTTTCATCGATCCGGTTGATTTTGTCCTAAAACTGTCCAGCAATGTTTATACTACTTATCTGCACCTACTACTATCTACCCTGCTATGTCGCAGTTCCTCGAATTTACCCACTTTTTCGAATTACCGAGGGGCGCGACATAGCAGGAGATTGACTGTATGTTGTTTGGAACGGGCTATCGACAAAAAGCCGCACAGCAATCGCGCCACTGGCATCTATTCTCTCAGTGTCTCTAATCACCGGCAATCTTCATGCCTTAGGCCCCAGCCTGGAAGGCGAACTGCACCAACCGAAGCCAATGCTGAGGCTAACCTCTTCATAACCCTACGATATGGCACAGTCTGACCGCTGCGATTTTTCCAATCGTGCGTAACATGTGCGAAAGGAGCACGGAAAGGTGGACGACGGGAAGGCATGCGCAAAACACGTTAGCCGTCGAAAGCGGTATACAGCGATTACATCTTTTAGAGAACCACTATCCACACTAAAAACGACGAATTTCGTCAGTTCTCTCACACTATGTTCCCACCAGATATGAGCAGTGCTTCAAAGACATCGGTAGACCAATGCAGAATATATATTTACCACCGGCTTCGGGCAAGCATGGTGCCAACGCCACAACAAAAATAAGAAAAGCGGATGGGTGGATTGGGATGAAGAATGGAGTGAAAAGGGTAACAGTGACAATGGACAACAGTAGGTAACAGGAATGACAACAAAGTCGATTAGCATCCTCAACGCGGAGAGGCCATGTTTCGCAACCGTAAAGCAGAACACTACAAACCGCGGCGATGTAAACCTTTCCCCTAAGGGAAAATCGAATGTCATGGGGGGCTCTAATTAGCAAAAGCTGCTCTAGCTTTGGCACTAACAACAGGTATGGGATGAAATATACTTATTTAACGAAGTTGATGGTCGGTAAGCGTTCTGTATTATCTAACTGTGTATCACAATGTAGATTGCACCATGAAAAAGAACTTCCCGGGTGAAACTCAAGTCAAAATACGTGGGGGAATCAAAGATGGATTCAGAAGGCCCGGGAAAAGACGGAAGAGAGTGCAATAAAGAGAACCAACACGAGGATTTGTCCGATGGCCAATGAGGAAATCCTGTACGGCGTTTTTGTCAAATGCACATTTCAATGGGCCCTTTGCATTGTATCTTGTATTGAAATAGTGGGTTCGGGTGGTTAACGTCACCTGGATTTCATTATTCAACGATCAGGATGATGCATGATAAACTAACACTCGTAAGGATTAAATTTAGATACATATATATCATGTAGTTCATGTGTAAGTAAGCGTGCACGAGATTGGAGAAATGTAAGGCATTCCTTTGGGGAGCCTTCCCATTCGAGTCCCGTTTGTAGTGCAGACGGACTCGAATAGGATGACTGTGCGGACTGGGAACCCCACAAGATAATTGGTGCTTCCGCTCTCAAACATCACCGATTAGACCGGGTCTGTCTAAACCCCGTCCAGTCCGAATAAACTAATTTCTCCTTAAAAGAAAGTACTTTTGCGTGAGTTCCCGAGCAAGGATAAAAGTTTCTGTTGCGTTTGGCTGCTCGTCCCCAACCACCATCCGGGATCGCTGTACTCTTGACCGTTGATCGAGTGACCTTCATAGACGGGAATGAACTAGCCTGGTGGTAATTGACCTGGGTCAGTCGAAAGGGTAGAGAAGTGAATCACGTCAAGATGGCTCGATAAATCGGTTACGATCTCAGGCGTGAATATATGATTCATTGCGTGAATGAGTGCAGTCAAGGCTCTCAATTGTTTCAGGGGAAACCTTTTTTCACATAAGTATCAGATACGTAAACTAATCTACCAATAATTATCGTATTATTTAACTAGTAACCTAACTTGCCGTTGTTACGCTATTATAGTAACGGACGCAATTGCCCAATAACAAACGAAAGGACTTCAAACCCTTTTGACTGTGATGGTTTCCCGTCCATTCTTTTCATACAGATCAGGTGTTACTTCATCCCAGTACCACTGGATGTTCATAAAGCACGACCAAATACGTTGAATTGCTCATTCAAATAAGGAAACCCCAATTTCTTATATTCCATATGCACAATCTGAATGAGACATCTGTCGAACGTACCTGGTCTCATTGAGGTGGCAACCGCGTCAGCCATTGCCGCGCTTTATGAAAATTCGACGGTAACATTATCGTTTCTACGGCTGAAACTCAAGGCCGAACGGGATACAGAAGCTTCCATGAACACCTACCTCGACGGAAAACTGATTAAAATAAAAAAATTCATCAAATACCAGTAGCCATGAACCTTTAGTGACTCAATGGTTGCTGATATTCGTCAGAACCTGTCACTGATGTTTACTCACGTCCGTTTTGAATATTCGTCCCAAATGGAAACAGAACCAGAGATTGCGTTTATTGAAAACAATATATTCTGAGATCTTCAGAAAGGTTGGAAGTAGATTTGGCTAGGCCTAGGCTGATATTTAAGCAACGGCAGCGGAAACCTGAAAGTAGATCTGATCAATGC